GAAGTAGCCTACTGTAATCTGATTAAACTTGTTGTGTTTTATCGTTGATGTGGGGGCGTTGCATGGATCGCCTCAGACCATTTGTGTTTGAATAGCCCGCGCTCTCCATGGGTGTGTTCAAATTAAACGATAATGAGCTGATGTGAGAACGACTGACATCTCTCTCTTTTCATATAGATCACATAAGCAGAGAATATTATGATATGTTTTTATTATGAATTAGACCATTTAAACTTAAATGATAATAAAGATTTATAGCTCCACCTGGGTGAATAGTATTCGCTGAGTTTTGGTTAAGTTTAGAGACGTGCTCCAAAAAATGTTCAGAGATGGAGAGGCAGAAAGCACACCATGTTTATTTTCTTTATTTAAGAAAAGCACAATATTTTGTTTCGATTGTAAGTGGACACATAAAAAAGAAGACATCCAACAGTTTATTTTTTCATATTTCTTAAATGAGTAGATGAAAATCACTTTTTTTAAAAAAACAACTTTTGCTGATAATTTACTCACCCCCATGTCATCCAAGATATCCATGTCATTCTTTCTTCAGTCGAAAATAAATTAAAGGGAAATTAAAAGGTTTAATTTGTTGTTTAATGAGATCTAATTCTAGTTTAATGAGGGTTTGAGACTCCCACCATTCATCTCGAAAGAAGTCATATAAACATTTCAATAACTCTGAAGTTGTTAAATTAAGCTAAAATATAACTGCATAGTGTCCCTTGGCCCTTGGCCATGGTTCCTTGGAAGGAACCATGCCACCTTGCCACACCTGGAGTTAAAATTATAGTCACTGGTGTTCCTCCATAAGAAGTCCCCTTGGGCCATATGTGTTTTCTTAAGTCCTCCCTACGGGTAGGCATACTGCGGCATATTTCCTCCGAGATATGCTCCCCAGTGTACCTTGGCATTCCTGTGCTAAGTAGGACTTCTCGTCCGTGCTAATTTCACGACAGGGGATCAGACTTTCGCAGGGCACTGGAAGACAGCTGTGAAGGTGGCGTGATTACACGGCGGACCCCCATTTTCCGTCATCCGACGTAACTCGGAGTGACTACGAAATGGAACGTCTTGGTTACGTATGTAACCCTCATTCCCGTGCAGCACAGTAAAAATAGACTAAGTGCGGAAACAATCACTGCATTGCTATATTCACTGTGAACGCTCTAACGTACGGAAAGAAATGCTCACTGCATACGCACTGTAAACAGAGTATGTCTGAAACAGGTGTAAGTGTGCAGCCCGAAAAATTGAGCGCAATTTGAAGAAAAACAGAACTACATCTTATCTCAACAAGACGACATAATGATTGACACTCGTCTCTACTTGGAGGTGAAAAAATAAGTTCTTTGTGACCCTGCTGCCACCACAACCGATGCAGACTATCTGCCTGCTGCGGACGAGGAGCCCGCAATTGAAACCCCCTTTTCGACACAAAAACAGGGAGTAATTATATAATTGGGTTGCAAATTAACTCTTCACTATAAATTTTAAGAAATGATTCCCAGGCGGTAGCATGGAATGGAGCTCAACTCTAGTCTACATTGACAGCCGCCTGTCAAAATAAAAGTCCCGCTTCCAACACATCGGCCAATTACGGTATTTTAAAAATGGCAAATATCGGCCGATATATCGGTTGACTACTAATCTATATGTTGGAATTTAAATGACTTCTGTAACATGAGACAGACAGTCTGTCTCCTTCCTGATCTGGGCCCCAGTTAGTCAAGGCTTAACTCTAAGACTATGTGCCATGTTACTAGAGAGAAGAGCAGCACCAAAAAGAGCAGAAAAATGTGTTTGCAGTGATTCACACTGACAGGCACTTGGAAGTATGTCGATTTGGGCATCCTTGTTCCCAATGCGTCAATGATGATAACGCAGCATGAGTTCCCTCGAAAGTGAACGTCTCTGGTTATGTCTGTAACCCTGGTACCCCGAGAAGAGCCTGTGATATCCGCCTGTGATATTCCGTTATGCCATGGGACTGATTTCACACAGTGCTCCGTAATTACGCGGAGGCATTCCCAGCGCATCAATGATGACGACGCAGCGTTTTGTTCCTTTCTCTGGGAACGAGGGTTACAGTTGTGGCATGTAATCTATGGCATGAACGGAAGAGATGGCAGGTGTAGAGCGGATCTGAGTGCAAGGGGTTTATAGAACAAACAAACATAAACTGAAACTAAGGAACACAAAGAACCAGAGAATACTATAGGATCAAGGAATGCACATCAACTGTTTCTTTAATATAGATTATAGTCAACATGAAAAATCAGACGACAAGAGAAGGAATTTCTGCTGTTCTGTACTAGTGCTGTAGATAGATCATGATGTGTAAAGTTGCCACAGCTTTGAGAAAAGAAAGACAGATCAATAGGGTAGATGAAGGACTTATTTATCATGCTACCCTTGTGCTTATACTGTTCTACTGTGTATGTCTGGCAGCAGACTATAAAATCAAGGGTAGCACTGCTGCAAAATCCACAAGCACCTTGGAACCTAATGTATTTTCACCTTTTAATTTAAGATAAGCCATAGCAGCAGGCCAACGTGGGATGCCGACACGGGCAATATCTAATTTCTCCTCGTTGTTGATCGTGGATCAGTCAAAGGTGCTGAGACTTCAGTTCAGCTCTTTCTTTTTTCTCGAACCAAAGTATTTTCTTGAACCAAGTTGTGTATGTGTGTTTCATTAATCCTTTGAAATGTATTCATCATACACAGGTGTTGCCACTAGGAATACATAGCAATAATGGCTTCACAAGTGCTAGCTGAAAAACAAAAAACAGCCTGGTCTGAATGCAGTTGCCTATTGCAGATTACTTTTGTTAAATAAATTACTTTGTGTTTATTGAGCACTGGTTTGCAAAGGGATTGCATTTCTGTTTTGGCTCTTTGCAATTAGATTAAAGTCCGCTCCTAATTGTCAATGCACTTAGAGGAACTTGCATATAAATGTTCATATTAATCTTCCTCTCAAAATTTTACAATTTTAGTTGCCCTTAGCAACTTTAGATATAGATATACAGTATATCCATAAAAAAGTTCTGCAAAGTTAACTGAAGAAATGTGACTGCAGGCTGCCATTTGGAAGGCTATCAGAGCAAAACATCTCCAGATAGTTTAATCAAATTCTTGCAGTACTGCTCTGCATAGTAGGTTCCAGCAAATACTTGTCACAAACAGGTTGCATTTTCACGCTGACGTGTCTAGGGATTGATATGATACAGAAGTTTTTACCAAATATATTGTTAGACATAAAAATGTGAAAAATAAAAATAGAAGATTTAAAATGGGTTGTTTACCAGATATTGATATATAAGCAAATTTCTGTCAGGAAATCCTAGACGACCAAATCGTGGCCAAAATCGTACAGTGTGTACCCGGCTTAAGATAGGTGAATGTTCTTTTTACTAGATTTATGGTAGACCTGCTTGTTTGGGGGCCTTATTGTCCTGCCAATACCTGTTTACAGTCACCCCATGTTTGGTGATCTGCATGTCTGCTGATGCAGCAAATCATTTTATTACACTCAGCAACAGCCATATATTGGCTTGTATTGTCCCCTTCCTGTGTCCCTGCTTTGTTTGGGAGTATTTTCATGTATGTTATGTGCATGTATGGGGATGTATTGTAGCAAGTCTCTGTACTTGCTCAGTAGCAATTATTAACAACAGTGCAGCAGATCTATTCCGGCAAGCAAAATACATTAACATTGTCATATCCATCGCAAAATGCTAAACCCTCATAGAGTCATCATAACTGAACTGATATTATTTCTATATATATAATCTTTAACACAATGCATTTTGTTTTTCTTCAAACAACAACAACAACAACAACAACAAAAAAAAACATTTTGGTGATCAGCTATATTGTTGTGTATTTGATAGTTGGGTTACTGGTTCTAGGTGTAATGGTTCACCTCTCTTGTTTTGTTTGTGGTTTTAAGGCAGGGTTTCCACACTAACCTTTTTTACTAGGAGCACTGTAGCCCCTAACTTAAAATGTTTAGAAGCACAAGCAGAAAATGTAGGGGAACACCTTAAATCAACCTGCTATGCAGTTATCACATTTCCACCCATATTGATGTAAATAAATTGACTTTAAGCTGGGTTAGTTCACCCAAAAATAACTCACCCTCATGTTGTTCCAGCCCCGTAAGACTTTTGTTCATCTTCAGAACACAAATTAAGATATTTTTTTATTCAATCCGAGAGCTGGATCACTCCACCATGGGCTTCTTAAGGGATCGGGACTGGCCAACACGACCAGCGACGGATCGGAACTGGCCAACACGACCAGCGACGAGAATACTTTTTGTGCACAAAAAAAAAAAAAGACTTTATTCAGCTATTCATTTACTTCTCTGTTGGCCTCAAGATTTCATGTAGTGGAACTGCACAATGGTTCTGTGTTGTATGTCACACGCAGGCTCACTATTGGCCGACGCTGGTCATGTGTGTGATGTGTGTGACGTTCCATCAAGAAGCTTTGCGCAGTTTCACTACGTGAAATCTAGAGGCCAACAAAGGAGGAAATTAATAATTGAATAAAATTATTATTTTTGTTTGTCATTTTTGCTCACAAAAAGTATTCTTGTTGCTTGATACACATAAGATTGAGCCACTGTAGTCACTTTGACTATTTTAACAATGTCTTTAATAACTTTTCGGCTAACATTTTCCATCCCTTAAGAAGCCTACTGAGGAATGAGACAGCTCTCAGATTTAATAAAAAAAAAAAAAAAAAAACGTAATTTGTGCATATAATACATATCAGCATAAACTAAAACGAATATCAGTACTTGGTCTCTAAAGACATGGTTTTGTGCATTCCTATGCACATTAATACTTTGTACAGATCACCTGCAGGCTGAAGAGCATCATTTGTATTTGAATCTCAGAATGACAGAGGGACAGAGCTTGTATATATAAGTTCCCCACTTTACTAATTTGCATTTTCTCACCATCTTTACTCTCTTCTTTCTGCAGGCTTTCGGCTCTCAAAGTGTCATGGCTGCCGTTCTCCACAAGCTCACAGCACGCGTCCCCTGCGTGTGGATCTTCCTCATGCTTTTCGACCCCAGCTCACAAACCGGGTAGGATGACTCATCAACCCTCCCCATCTAGCCTCTCTTTTTCCCATGTTGCAGGCTCTAGGGATACATTGTAACTAATACATTCATTAATAAGGTTGTATTACTGTGCAGGGTCTTTTACGATCTGCAAAATGCCATTGGAGCCAACCGTAGTTGGCTGTAAATCGCTCGCACAAACTGCCATGAATTGGATTTTCAGTGGCGGAGTGGGCTTGGTTACAAGTGTGACTCAATAACCTGGAACGAAACTGATGCTGGAAAAACCTGTGGGATTACGAGATGAGTTTAGCCTAGATTGTGTTACAGTGATGCCAGTTGGTTGTTACTGCTCATTAGCTCACTCGCACATGTCAGCATTGTGAAGGTATATATATATATATATATACAGGGATTTTGGTAAAAAGGGATTTTGTACTTTCAATCAACAGCCAGAGCTAATGGTCTTCTAAAAGTAAAATACAACATTAAATCACAACTCATGACCCCTTGTCATGACATACATCTTTCCTGGCCGATTCCAAGTGTTTTAAGTCCGCAATCAGAAGGGCCTTGATATTCTTCAATCAAAAGGCAAGCTGGTTTGACATCATTTAGAACAAAATGTGATGAAATTGAAGTTTGTTTGGAGTTTGTTTGGGTCGTTCTAAACCGCTGGCCAAGACAAACAGTAGGTGGGTGTTATCTGGTGCTCCACCTTCCTTGGTGTGGAAATCTTCTCTGATTCATCTGTTCTGCCCGTCGAGGTGAGACACAAGTAAAAACACTAGCATACTGAAGAGCTGCTTTATATAGATGAAATTAAAATCATAATTTTGTAATTTTAATATAATTCTGTGACACTGTCACTGTTTTGTAAATGTACGAATCGGTTACCTAATGTAACCTCGGTTCTCTCTAGATGAGGGAACGAGTATTGCGTAAGCTAACTTACGCTACGGGAAAGATTCATCTTTTCTGAGAAGTTGAAGCCAAAAAATTATTCCATAATTTGTATCCATTGTCAACGCCGTTCCGCTGCAGCAGACCATGAGCGGGCTAGCTAGCAGCTCATTGGTTCGCTCAGAGAGAACTGCTTAAGCATATGGCAGAGCCGGGCAGAACTCGCGACCAATGAGAAGCAGGCACGCTCTCATTGCGTCAGAGCCCGCCAGAAAGGGCGTGGCTAGAGAGTATAAATTAGGCTCTCTCAGGCTGTTAAGTTGATTTTTTCAGAGTGAAGCGAAAATGCTAGTAGCGCAAGCACGGCCAGGAACGCAATACTCGTTCCCTCATCTAGAGAGAACCGAGGTTACTTTAGGTAACCGATTCGTTCTCTTACGAGAGGTTCTCTTGTATTGCGTAAGCTAGCTTACGCTACGGAAACACCTGGTCAACGCCGTGCGCGCTATGTGTTCACTAATGAGTCCCGGGGGGGATCCGGGGGACCCTTATGAGAGGAGTGACTGTAAAGTGATAAGCCAGCTAAGCGGGCCCGTGATTGTGTATTACATAAGCACATAAGGGGAGCACAAGTGGCGAACCAGTGACTCCCAATAGTGCAGCTCATCAGAGGAGCTGAAGTATACTAGACAGCTAATTTAGCCTGCAGGGCTGGAACTTCCAGATTGAAGCTTTCATAGCTTCAAGAACTATAGAAAGATCCCAAATAGGAACTGAAGGGGGGCGTGGTGGGTTCAACCTTCTAGCTCCCCTGAGGAAGCGGATGATTAGCTCGTCTTTGCCCAGAGACTGAGTGCTTCAGGGTTCAGCGAACGTCGCGACAGCTGCCACGTAAACCTTGAGAGTGGATGGGGACCTGCCCTTATCCAGCATCTCCTGAAGGAAAACGAGCAAAGACGATACCGCGCATGACTGTGGATCCAAGTTTTTGTCTGTGCACCATTTGGAGAACATGGGGATGTCAGATCGTGCCGCGAGCTTGAGAGAGGAGATCTGCTCTGACTGGAATGGGCCACGGGGCTGTCTGCGACAGCTGGATGAGCTCCAGAAACCAAGTCTCTCAGCGAGACCAGGTGGCTCTGGGACCAAACTAGGATGCGGTGAGTCAGAAGGAAGAGATTCCTGGATCTGACCCCGCCTTGACGGATGAGATAGGAGACCACGGCCGTGTTGTCCGAACAGATCAGGACGTGGTGACCCCGAATGAGTGGGAGGAAGCGCGAGAGCGCATTTTCGACCGCGAGCATTTCCAGACAATTTATGTGCAAAGAGCCTTCCTGAGTCGACCAATGGCCGAAGGCCGTTGAGACCTCACAGACCGCACCCCAACCCGTGTTGGATGGGTCTGTCGAGATGAATTTTCGGCGGGAGAAGGTCCCCATGGTGACGCACCGCTGAAACCAATCTGCCACTGTCCATGACTGCAGTGCCGTGAGACATGCCTGTGTAACCTTGATCAGCTGGCGGTCTTTGATCCACGCACGGTGAGACACACAACTCTTTAACCAGAACTGAAGCGGGCGCATGTGCAGAAGGTCCAGCTGAAGCACAGCGGAGGCTGAGGCCATATAACCCAACATCTTCTGAAAGGATTTCAGAGGTGTGCGGGTGCCCATCCGAAACGAAGCGGCTAGTCGCTGAACACTGCGCGCGCGCTGTGTAGACAAGCGAACCGTCATAGTGACCGAGTTCAACTCTATCCCCAGGAAGGAAATAGACTGACTGGGTTGAAGGGAGCTCTTTGTCCAGTTGACAGAGAGACCCAACGTTTTCAGATGGTCGAGGAGAACTGCGCGATGCGACAGAAGCTCCGCCTGTGATTGTGCCAAAATCAGCCAGTCGTCCAGATATTTTAATATATGCTGCCCCTGACGACGCAGGGGAGCGAGCGCCGTATCCATGCAATTTGTGAAGGTACGGGGTGCTAGAAATAGGCCAAATGGGAGAACGGCGTATTGATAAACTTGACCCTCGAAGGCGATACGCAAGAACGGCCTGTGATGGGGATTTATCTGGATCTGAAAATAGGCGTCTTTCAGGTCTAGAGAGATGAACCAGTCCCCCTGGTGCACGTGTGCGAGGAGTTTCTTGACTGTAAGCATTTTGAACGGTCTCCTCATGACCGCTTTGTTCAAAAACCTGAGATCTAAGATCGGCCTGAGGCCGCCGTCTTTCTTGGGAACAAGAAAATAACGGCTGTAAAACCCCGACCAAACCTCGGTCCCCCAAACCTCGGTCATAGATGGCGGAACTCTCTCTATGGCGCCTTTTTGCAACAGCTTCGCTATCTCTGAGCAGAGCGTGTTGATAGCCCCCGGGCTGACAGTGGCTTCGAATCGAAAGTGGAAGCATGGCGGGTGGCGACGAAATTGTAGCAGATAGCCGTTCTTTATAATGCTCAACCCGGAATGGCTTCCCACGCTTCGGAGCACGCGGCTAGCGGTTGGATGGCTATATCGCCCTGATTGCTGCACAAAGCCGGCTGGACACGGGGTGTGGGCACGCTTAAACTGTATGTAGCAATGGGACTTACACTTAGAGAGGAGATTATGGGCCGTGAGACAGAGCGAGCAGAGAGGGGACACGTGCACGGGCTCGTGGGCGTGCTTATGTTCTCTGATACTAGAGCGGGCTGTGCTCTGTGGGGATGGGCTCTGTGAGAGACACGGGACTTGTGGTGCAGCGGTCTTGACGGCCTGAAGCCATGCCCGCAGAGATGACAACGGCAATCTTTAAAAAGACGCTCGAGCTAGTTTAGCAGGAAGAGGAAAGGATACACGTCGTCGGATGGCGCTAGCTTGCAGGGCGGCTGAAGGTGGCGAAGACGGCCGGCTTCTTCAGTCTCCGGAGCTTGCTAGAAGGTGCCTTCTCGACGGCGACGGCTTCTTCTCAAACAGCGGAAGCGTGTAGCTTGCTGAAGGATGAAATAATCAACTTAACAGCCTGAGAGAGCTGAATTTAAACTCTCTAGCCACGCCTTTTCTGGCAGGCTCTGACACAATGAGAGCGTGCCTGCTTCTCATTGGTCGCGAGTTCAGCCCGGCTCTCCCATAGGCTTAAGCAGTTCTCTCTGTGTGAACCAATGAGCTGCTAGCTAGCCCGCACATGGTCTTTAAAGAGTACATATCATGCTTTTAAATCATTCATTTTTACATATAAATTATACCGTTTTGGTCTATATAAAACATAAATGCAATGCTTGGGTCTGAATTCCTCATTATTATAGCTCCACAAGCCCCTTTTCTACCCCTTTTCTGATGTGCGTCTTTGAGCGACCCATTTCGAAGCGGCCCCTTTAAATAAAAAGGAGTTGCGTCCCTGCCCGCTCTTCAGGTCGCTGAGTTCACGGTCGGTTCAACTCCCCGCGTTCGGCCATTATTGTAGTTTGATTAGAGATATACGATTATACGCGATACCTTCAAAGAAAATTTTTATTCACACGTTAATAAAATGTCAACAACAGAAGACTTGTCAAGCAACAGCAAGGACATATTTTAATTGTTTATTAATGAACAAGTGTTTAATAAGTCTGCTGGCAGCAAATATGATTATAGCGATGCTGACTCGTCATTCCTGCAGCAGTGAATGCACGCGCCTAACGTTATATGGATCAGGTAATCAAACTATTAATTTCTACTTATTTTGTTTAAAAGTAGACATATTTTGACAGACTATAGGCCTATTTCTCATGTCTATGAGGCAAGTATCCCATATGCTGAGTGTCGGTTCATCTGAATTCTTGCAGTCGAAGACGGATGAACTTTGTACTCTCAACAAGTGTCTGTGCGCTTATCAGATTTACCGTGTTACCGGTCTTGGCGGCAATTATCCTGTCGAAAATATTGCATCGCGTGCTTCTGGTATCGAGTCTGGCACATAGGTACACTTTGGTCATTTCCACATATTTTCTATCCATCTGGGTTGGGACGCTTACACGCAAACACACACACAGACACACTCATGTGCGACGAGCTTCGTCTCTGAGCAGCCGTGTAAACTAGTGTTTTCCGCCACAGCCTATCATGCTGCGTGCTTATTGTTTCACTGACGTTGAAGAGATT